TTGATACAAATGGGACTTCACCTACTCAGTGCACCTATCAGTACAATATACAAATTGCACTAAAGCCATTAACTGTTTTGAAATTCTATGATATCCACCAGACAGTTTTCAAATATCTAAGGCGTCAGTGTGAATCCCATCCTCACGAAAATTTTTCTTGGGATAGAACAAAGATCAAAATTTTCTTCTTCAGCTTATAAGTCACCACACGCTCCTTATTGCGAACTCGGAGTCCTCTAACTGAACTGGTGATTTCGTGTTCTTCCAATACACTTGTTTTTCATTTTTGAGATTTCATCGTAGCAATGTGTCTTCGAACCTTGTCCAACTGTTCCTGTACATCGAAATTTTTCTTTGAAGAGTCCTGGTGTACGCTGATGGCATCCATTATGAGCAGTACAACATTTCCGCAGGATCAAGTTGCTGTCTGAAGAAGTGGCTTCATAACATGGTACAATCTGAAGCATACATTTTTTATCTGAGGTCGTACTACTTCAAGAAATTCAGCACTAATTGGAGCATACTGAGTATTCATACAGTATTCGTTGACAGACTACTAGAACCAATAATTGTTTTGAAGTTCTTTGATCTCGAATGATTTTCGGTTTCAAATAATCGGTTACTTCTTGTTGAAAATCAACAACACCAAAATTTTGGTTGTTCAGCGTTTTTCCATAAGACCTAAGAGTGCCTGGAGCCGATGGTATTAGATATATCTACATATGTTTTTCATTTTGTCCTTGTTATTTTTCTAATTCAGAACGATAGAACTAAGGGACGCGAATTGAACCATTTCTCTAAACAAGCTGATCCCGGACGCGATTCGCTTGCCTAATCTTTTAGTAATGGATTCTCTTTAATGATCATAACTAAAAGTTAAATATGCAGTCTGTACATAAACTAATTACTCTTGTAAAATTCTATGATGTCCACGAGAGAGTTTTCAAATATCGAAGGCGTCAGTGTGATTACAATCCTCATGATTTTTTCGGGTTAGAACTAGGGTAAATTTTCTTCTTCAGCTTATAGATTTATACACGCTCATTTTTAGGACCGAGGAATCCTGTTTGTTATGATGATCTCGTGTTTTTCGAATAAACTTGTTTCGATATTTTCGAGACATAACCGTAGCAGCAAAATGGCTTCAATTGTAGTCCAATTGCTTCTGTACACCGGAACTGCTCTTAGAGTACCGATGTGAGCTGATGAAATGCATGTTGTTCAGTACCACATTTCCTCGGGACGAAGTTGAGTTGATGTCTTAAAAATGGCTTCAAAACATGGTACAATCTGAAGCTCTCCAGTTCCACAATTGTTTCACCTTTGATTAAACTTTGTCAAGATCTTCGCCACATTATTATTAAGACTATTTCCTTCACTTTGATTTAATGACATCGACTGCCACTGAAAAAGAGGATATGTTGAAATAGTGTTGAGAAACAAAGTACAAAAAAATTAGGAAATGAGTAATTTTTATCCTATCTCACTCAGTAAAAAGTAAGATCAAAAATTATACAACGAAGACACTAACAGTAAATAGTTGGGGACGTTAATGGGATTGTGCCATCATTCGCAATCATCATCACTATCGGTCTAGATGTGGTAGCTTCTAAGATGTCGATGGTTGAATTGTTGCCAATTTAAAGTAATTTATCCGAATTGTTGTAAGATTTGTCTATGATGTTTTTCTGGGATGGAATTAGTAGTCAATCCTCGTAGAATTTCATCCAGTAGTTTTTAAATCCTCCTTAATTTCTTCCATAAGTATCAGGTGACTAAATATCAATATCCCGACATATCATGGTTGTATCAAAGAAAATTTGAAAGGATGTGATTCACCCATTCTGTGGACATTTATGTGGACATCATGACTGTGAATCATTAATGAATTCTCCGTAGGACCATCACTGGCGATGGTAGGAACTAGATTCATGTTTCAAATCATAAAGCAAGAATTTTTTGACGATCCGAATTGGTTTTAGCCTAATTGTTGTGATTAAATTATTAAATAGAAATGAATGTTAATAAAGTTGAACTTTCCGAAGTACAAGAAATCAAAGAAGCTATCAACTCGAAACCCAAGAAGTGGATATTCCTGACACGATAAAGAAACTACTGAACCTCATTGAATTTCAAATGCTAGAAGAGAAGCAATATAGCACAGTGTCAAAATTAATCGATAATGCGAACAATATTCACGAGTTCTCCAATCGAGTTGTAGAGTTGTTCTCCAATCGAGTTGTAGAGTTGAAATATTCACGGAAGCTGTGCTTGATGTTCGTCAAATTAGAATATGGACCAAACCCTCTATCCGATGTTCTGCAATTGTTAAGAAACCATCTGAAAATCAATCTCATTGAGTCAAACATTGCAGCCTGTCATCGCTTCAGTAGTAACCCCAAATCATCTATTATTGTTTATTTTGTTTTCCACGCGGACCGGAATACTATCTGGAGGAGAAAATCATGGCTGAAGTCAGTATGAACTTCACGGAACTTGCAACTCATTGTTGAGGGATGCCTTGGACCACGTGATAGACAGAAAAAGGTGGAAGCAAGTCGTTTAGGAGTTCACGTGTACACCAAGAAACAAAATATTTACGCTCGAGATCCAGTTAACGCTTCTAATGATGCGGTGCAAATAAAATCTCGGCATGAAATGAACTCGTTTGTGCCAAAAGCTGTCCACGAAGAACTACCTCACCGTCCAACTGTTGAGAAAAAAAGACAATGGATATCAGAATGCAATGGATATCAGAAACTGGGCGGACTGTCTAGAGACACCAAAACCTCCACTGATGCAGCGTAAGCCAGGCACTACAATCTTTTAGTAGATCGAAAAGAAAGTATGCAATGTCTCTCATTGATAAAGATCAGCAGAAAGAGCTAACAGAGAGCGTCATCAAAGGATTGGTACCTGCAGTCATCAACGCTCTACAACCAGCAGAAAGAGTAGCTCGAGACCGCTCTCCAACCAATGACAATCCCTTAAATCGAAATGGTGCTCCGTTTAATAAAAAAAAAGGATCAGAATGATAGTTGTCCTGGTGCTACAGTATCAAACATGCATGTGAACATTAGATCGTTTTCGAAACACTTTGAAGATTTTAGAGGCGCTAATACACTGTCTACAGTCTTCTCCTCATGTTATTTGTCTGTCTGAGACATGGCTTAAAATGGATGAAGATACATCAGTTTTTCTGGTGAAAGGTTATAGGGAATTTAAGACTGGAACCCTTGATAATTAATGCCTGGATAAAGATAGTTGTATATAGGAAGGGAAAATTTAGAGCTATAAGCAGGGCAATCAGGGTCGTAGGAAAAGAAAAAGAGGAGGAGGGTAAAGCAAGATGGGAGGTGGGGAATTCAATAATCGTAAATAAATAATTTTTTTTGTTTTAAAAGGCTCTCAAATTTTACACTGTCACACTTCCTTAGTTTAAAATGCTTGATTGGAGGTGAAATGGTAAAATGCCTGATTGGAGCTCCGGAAAAGGGGGTTCGAATTCCAGTCGGACTTCTTCTTTTTTGTTTAATTGTTTATATATTATTAGTATAATAATTAGTATTATGATTGAAATTAATAACTACTTTCAAAACAATTATTGTTTAAAGCTTCTCTTGATCGGGGTAGACTTAGAGCAGATCAGCTGATCTCGTTATTTACCCTTTTCAAGTCGCTATATCTATTGCTGTAATTTGTTTATTTAGCTATATCAATTTATCTTGGCTTGAATGAATTTATTCTTCTTCTTTAAAATTAAGTTCAGCCAAGTTTTCCTTTCAAATTCATTAAACATTTTTGTTCAGTTCTATATTTTAAAACAAGCCTGTAATCAAGTCATATCAACTCTAACTCAGTTATATCTCAGAGAAAGAAACAACGGGTTGCGTTTTAATAATTGAGACGTTCATTTTTTCCTGCTAATCGATCACAATCAGTTAAAGGATGTGAAAACTAGGGATGGGATCAGGGAAAAAGATTGCTGACAGTAGGGATAGGGTTGAAATTCATCTTTTAGTGTTAGAGGTACGCTAGAAGTGGGCTTAGATAGTCAGTGATAGGATTAGTTAGTAGTAGGGAAAGGGATAGGGCTAAGGCTAATGACCAGCTTCTCTTGGGGGGGGGGGGGGGGGTTGGGGGTTGGGGGTGTTGTTGAAAAAGCGGCTCATGACCTCCACCACCTGCTACTCGCTCATACTTTTTCACTGGGTATGATCGTAGAATGATCTTTGATGAGCATAGAATCTGCTTTTTGATTGAAATGGATAATTCTGTTAGGTGTCAACGTTCGAAATGGAGATACTTATTTACTTATATGTGTCCTGATTTAGTTTTTTTTCTGGAGAAAGTTACGTTCAAAAACTTGATCAAGATCATAATTGGTTTTTCGTTTTTTAACTTTTTAAATTATTTTTAAAGTCATTCTTCTGCAAAAAAGGATGCAAACTTTCATTCACAACAGTGCAAATAAGCTAAAAATTGTGATTGACTCTTTGTTTCAAAAATGTTTTTTTTTTAGATTAACCTGCGGAATAAAAATTACATATTGGCCCAGTATTATTCAATTAGATTAGTTGTATGAACAATGTGTTGGGATGAAAAGATTCTCGTTATTTAAACAGCTTCAACGTGATGTAATTTTCCCTTCAAAATACACCAGTGTAAAAATTCAAGGTCAATTGTTTGTTGTTCGGTTTTATTGAGTTCATTGACGCTTTGTCAATCGTCTGTTGGTTGTTTTTGACTTCGTTAGCGCACTGAGATTTTTTTATGTTGAATAGAGTTTGTGGAAACTGTCTCGAGTTGAGCAATTATAATTGTTTGGTCATACGAAAAAACATAAATATGAAAGATGGGTCTCGTGGTTTGTGAAAACACAATTAAACAAACGCACATGCTGTTTCCGAAAATTTTCCGATTTTTCTCTAGATATCTATCTAAAATTTAGGGACCTAGCCTAGCTTTTACACAACCATTGTTAGAAATTTGATTTTCAGATACTCCTCCACAGAGTCCCAGGTTGGACCAAGAGAACAGGCCTCATCTTCCTCCTCTCTCGGGACAGCAACAGAACTCCTCACATGCCAGTCGAATACATGCATCTTCACACTCTGCTCCGGCTGTGACGTCACGAGTCACCATCTCAGTAATGAACAAAGTCATCTCAGACGCTATGACATCATGGGCCAGCAGCAATGGAAGCAGCGTGATTACAGGTGAGACATACTCACATACAGCTTGAATTGTATTTGGAATGTTTATGAAGTTAGCATAGTTAGTTTGTGGTCATGCTAGATGATTTTATCTTGCAATATCTTACATCAAATTGTCAAATTGTTGCACGATAATGAATATCGGTTGAAAATTACATAAAATTGAAAGTGAAAACAGCTCACGCACCCCACTATTTTGTCATACACCAAGTAACTCAACGAAATAAACATTATCAGGCTGTTCCCCTTCTACGTCGGTTTGACAAGACGAAAGCCAAATGTAAACGAAAATTCCTTAGTTTTCTCTATCTCTCAAACATAATCGATCTATTCAATTCAATCATGAGCAAATTCCGATGGCTTTTCATTTGGTTCGGGACCCGTCTACACTTTCGAATCCTTAAATTTCTTTTCAAAGAGTCAACAATTTTTTTTTGGAAAAATGAACTGCAATGTCGTTTTGCGATTCCTTTCCTCCTAGATATATGTTCGGGCTGTCAATAATTGAATCAATTTGGGGTTCAAATAGTTTTTAGGACTTGAAAATTGGTCAAAGAATACACATATTTCAGGTGGGCTTAGTGGATCATCGGGTGGTGGGGACCAGAATGGTGAGCATCATCAGCAGGACTCTTGTCCACTCCATCACAAAGTCATCATCACCTCCCTCGCCAGACTCACCAAGCAGTCTTCTGCCGCACATTTCAATATGCACCAGGTCATTCAAATCAGCAACTGCTTTCGAATCAAGAATAGCAGATTGCTGTGCAATTAGCACACAAAATTTTGACCCCCAATTTAGTCTTTCGAAGAAATAAAACAGAAGTCGAAGGTTTTAATTTTTTTTGTGAGAGGTATGAAAACAGGCAAAGGGAGATGAAGAGATGTTGAAAATAATTGGAGAATTGACGCCAATTAAATTGAAGCGAGGGCTTTATGTAGCCAATGGGTAAGATCCCTTAAACTTTGTATAGACAAATATCTTGTTAATATATTTATTCCACTTTTTTTAAAACAATTTCTCAACACTTCGCTAATTTTGGAGATTTCACCTTCTCGAACTTTTACTCTTGTTTAGCTAAACAAGAGGCTGACTTTTATATATCGGGGTCTACAATTGACCTTTTGGTTCTTGCGTAGATTTTAATTGACTCAAAGTTTAAAAATGAGGTTTATGGGGATGAAATTTTGGTCCCTAATTGGTCAAAATATATTGCACATTAATTCCTGTTAAATTCTCATCAACTTTTGACATCTCTTTTTTTGTGTGATGTCAACCAAAATTGGAAAAACCGGCTTAAGTTTCCAATTTCATTTGTTATTTTGCGGATAATTTAAAACAACGCTGTATTCTGTATCTTGAGCTCGAAGTTTTTGGCAACTTGGCTGCAGGTGGAGTATCATAGCTCGCTATTAAATTTTGTGTCTCGATGAACTTTTAAACAAAATGACGGTTGTTAAATGTCATTGAACGAAATAAAGACACTTATTTAAGCCGTGGTTGGTGTTTTTTTGATGTTCGAAAGTAGAATAATATTCAAAAAAAAATGAATTGAAATGAAAAAGAAGTGAATTTTTCAATGATACTTTTCTATTTGTCCGTAGCCTCTCTTCCGACCATTATGCATGAACGCTATAAATTCTCTGGCAATCGAGTATTTAATGTTACCGATGTTCCATAAAATGACCTTCTGATTGATTGTTCTTTTCTGTTTATAGGTGCTGTCCAAGTATGCGTCAGTGTGTAGTGAGAAAGGCATTTGTAGTCTGGAACAGTCGCAGCTGCAGATGGTGATGAATCTGTTGGAAGCCAGGGGACTCATACAACTCAGCTTACCCGCCGCCCGCAACAACGCCGGCGCTGGAGGACACTGCGACTTCAGAAAAATGAAGGTACGAAGACAGTATATGAGAAAATTGGTAAATTAAATGAATAAATTCTCCGATCACATTTTTGCCACAGATTTTTTTTTATAACAATCTAATGTTAAGAGATCTACAAAGCTGTACTGATGATTGCAGTTGGTCGCAGAAAATCGAAAGTCTGTCTTAATTTTTGTTGCTAGGCGTCAAGTCGTCGGACGAAGGTGAAATATTCGTATCAATTAAGGAAAGTTCGGGTTTCTAGAAAACTGGAAGGCTTCGGGGCTGATGACATGTTGTTGGCCTTCCTGTAATCATTTTTCAATAAATTGTTCGCAGTGGAATTTATTGTCAAAATTTTTTCTAAATAGGATAATTTTTACGCTTCGATTAGCAAGCGTTATCAAATGGGGTATAGACTATTTTTTCGGGTTAACAACTAGTTTTACAAAATTAGTTGAATCACTTGACAGCAGTTGAAATGCTGCGCACATGCTCATTTTCATGAAATTTCAAATTTAACTACTGGGTGCAATGTTTGTTACTTGGAACTTTTTCAGAAATAATTTTTTTGTCGGCTTCATAGATTTCGTTCCAACTTTTGTCAGCTTCTTTTTTCAATTTTATCGTTGGAACGTATTTTTGCTATTTCTTGAGGGTCATTCTGTTTTAATCCTGTTGTATCGCAAGTGGTGCGAAGCTCAGCTTCGCCTCTGTGTCGAAAATATTCCCTTTTTGTCGAAAAATTTTTTCCGTAAAAACATGTTAATAATGCCTACATTTTTACAGCTTGCTGGATGTACAGTCTACGTGCTGGATCTTTAGACTAAGTGTTTGTATAAAATATTCATTATATTTGATTTTAAAAAGCAGATTACCAGCTTTTTCTAATTGGGGCAGTTGCATTAAAAAATCGAAAAAGCCGTGTATTTTATATTTTCGATGGGATAAATGTTGGAAAGAGTGTTAAAAAAATCAATTGAAAACAAGATGAAACCATTCCGTATTGTATCAAAAACAGTTTTTTCGCGCGAATCGGCAGTTGAAAATCCAGCCCTTCATTCGGACATCTGTTTGCAGGAAAATGGTAGATTTCATTTAAATAATTCGATAAACTTTGGAAATTAATGAAAATTTAATGTTTCTTAATTTTGTAAACAGGGAACTCGTCATTTCTCCTGCACACAAATTTTTACAAATCTGTAAGAAATTGAGCTTGTTTTTCATAAAACGTCAAGAATTTTTGTGCAGCTGACCTCATAGTGTAGACTTGAAACGCCTGCTGGATCGTTTAATTCGTTTCTTGTCTTCTTTTCTGTACATTTATAACGCTCGAACGCAAGTTCCACTATCGATCAGCAAAAATATACAGGTCACGAAAAACCTGATCGACTTTTAATTTTGAAACAAATTGAATTTACTTTTCAGATTTCCCAGCGGAATGAAAATTTAACGTATTGATCCAGTTTCTCAAATTGGGTTTTTTAATCAAAAAAGCACAAGTCATAAATTATTCGTGAAATTGTTTTTGTTTCTGTTTCCTTGCGTTCATGACCTTTAGGGTGGAATGTGTTTTTAGGGTGGAATCCCTCATACTCGAAGGACCGAATGCGCGAAAAAAAGTCAGCTAATCAGATTTCAGTTATCAAAAATTTGCAAAGAAAGCATGAAAATCTGAAAGAAAGTAAACAATTCAGGGACTTAATATTGATATTGGCCGAATATAAAAACGGCAAGATATGCTAAATTTTCAAAATGTCACTGACCGCCGCCGAATTGGAACAAATTTTTTATATCAAGGGTTTTGTTATGAAAGAAGCAAAATATTGCTTCATTTAATTGAATGGCAATTGATTCTTTTAAAACTTGACTTTCGGCTAATTTTGTTTTCGGTCCTTCGCCCACTAGTTTTTCACCCAATCGGTCCTTCGCGCATGAGAATTGCTCCCGCTTTTAGTACTGAGAGATGCTATTTTAAGGGATGGGACTGAGGACTCAAAGTAAAAGCTCAACATTTCAAAATCTGATTACATGATCAAATTTTGGAGCGTTCAGGGTCTCGTCTTGAGTCGAGTAGTCTTGTTAAGTGTACCTCTGCAAACGTATTTTGAAAAAATATATATTTTTTTTTATTTAAAGAGCCCTCGCTCAGTCCTATTTGAACTCTCCTGCGATTTATGACAGTCCTTTCATAAGTTTTCTCTTTTGCAAAAGTTCCTCGAATATTTGTTCAGAACATGACAAAGCATAGTTTTTTCTGCTTTAGGTGTACGTTAAAGGAAACCTGTTTGAGCTGCTTTCATCTAGAGAGTTGGACGTATAAGAGCAAAGAGAAACGGTGACTTCATGACGAGTAAGAAATTCCATGAAGCTATGGAATATGATACGAGGTATACCGAAACAAACTCGAATTTAATTCAAATTGCTTTCAAAGTAATGAGACGACTTAACTACAATCGGAGTTTTGACTGAAAATGCTGTCTGATTAGTTTTTGTTTCTTTGTTTTTATTCTATCGGATTAGGTTGTGCATCTCAAAAGCTGTATTTAGCTTTTTATCATATGTTTTAGCGTGTATTATCGCTTGGCCCATATATCACATTTTCAATGTTGGTTTTCCCAGCTCAGCTTCAAGAAAATATATATTTTTTAATTTTCTTTGAACAAAATTAAGAAATTTGTTTTTGGAGAAAGTTATTTTTTGCAGTTTTTTTTTCATTTGTTAAAGTCAATACAATCCATTTTTTAAAAGGAAGGCAGATTACACTGCGATTTTGTGCAAGTAACTCGAAAAAACGTGGATCGTATTTTAGTTTCGAACGTGGTTGTAAAGTCTTAAATTTCCCAGTGGAATAAAAAAAAGTTACCAAATGACGCAGTTTTCGCGATGGGTTGGGTTAGTTTCAGGAAAGAAGTATCAACCTTAAAAGATTCTCTAATTCAAAGAACTTCATTGTGGTAAATATTCCTTCGAATGTTGAAAAATGTTTCAAGAAGTCGATACTTTTTAGGTCCTTGATTGACTTTTTTGCATTTACTTACTTCAAGCTCAATATCTGAGGTTCTCGTGTAAGAAGAAGCAATGTGTAAATTTTTGGAATCAGCTATGAACAAGAATATTACCTATCAGGGCGTGGAATGTCCAACAATTAATACAAAAAACATGATTAAAAGCCTTATTTGATTTCATTTCTTTCTCTGTTTTACATAGTCACATGCAAGGTAACTCCTCAAAAAAGAGTTCAATTTTGGAGTTTTGACTCTAATTTATTTAGAAATCAAATACGATTATATATTTTATTTACATTTGCGTAAACAAGTTTCTTGAAATCTTGAATAAACTTTTTCTCACAATTGTCTAATAAATTGGGTGATGTTTATTAAGAGTAATGAACGCAGTGAAGACTTCTATAAGTCTTGCTGATTTTTTTTTTTTTCATTGATGCACTAAGGCATAATCCACTTTTTTGAGTTCAATTGGAATTCATCTGCTGAAAGTGACGTAAATAGCACTATCCAAATGCGAACCTGGAAATGGCGCAAAAAAAACGTGAACGATTTCTAGTTTCGAAAGTGGAATTTATTTTTAAGATTTCTCAGCTGAATAAAAATTTTACATTAATCCAGTTTTCTCAAGTTGGTTCCATCTTATCAAAAAAGCCGCCAATCACAAATTGTTCTAGAAGTTCAAAGAGCTTAAAGGGCATCCATTTTTTTTTTTTTTTTGGAATTCGAAAATCGAGATTTTTTCAAAAAATTTAAGGTGTTTTTTATGTTTACTTGCGAGTAGTAGTGTAAAAGTGGCTAGGAAAATGGCCACTTTTAACCACCTTTTTTTTCGATGTGCCGTTGCAATGACCACTTTTAACCCCCAAAGGGGTTAGAACTCCTACTTTTTTTTCGGGCACACATGTTTTCAAAATTGATCGTTTTTCGAGCACTGTATGGAAAAGGGAATGAAATTAAGTTTTGCTTGGTGCTTGTTTTCCCTTGACTTTGACAGTTCAAATTTGACCGCGCGCGTTATAGTGTTGATTAATGTCTATAAAACGTAAAAACTTACCCGAAGGTTGATTTTGCAGAAGTGGATAAAGAAGGGATAAAAATAAAAAGAATAAAAGGACTTAGAAATATATAATTAGGTAAAAAAAAGAACCTCTACTTTATAAGAAGAGGTGGGAGTAAATGGTAACTGCTGGGCTATCCATTAGCCCCAGCAGATCAGAAGATCTGGACCCAATCCAGAATCCGAGTACGACTACGTCCCTGAGTTGCTCAGTGAGCAACTCCCACTCAGGGACAGTAGTCCGGGGAAGGGGTTCCCTTAGCCCACTGGCGTGGTTTGAGCCAGAGCTCTTTCACCACCAGAAAGACAGGATCAGCACCAGCCGTATATCTGACATGCACCTTCGATATTGGAATGTTGAGGAGTATCAGCCCACCGAATGGAACAATAGCTTTCTGGGAGTATGAAGACATATAAAACAAGCAAATTAAAAATTTTAAATCGAAAGAAATTTTTCGTCATGTGAAAGCTTTTGGAACAACATGTTTCTGAAGCTGAGAGTTTGCAATTTTTTCCTAATTTTTTTTCTGAGTTTAAAATACAATTATCCCGAAAACACTGAAAGAAGAAATTGTTCTTTTAGCAGCGTGTTATTTTCAACCAGTCTAGAAATTTTAAATTTGATTTGGAACTTTGGTGTATCTATGCAAAACAAAAACTTGGAAAATCGATTGATTTGTCGAATGCTACTTCTGAAAACTTATTTGAATTCTTGCTCGACTTTGACACTAAGTTGATTGAAAAGAAGCGCAGATTGAAAAATTAGTTATTAATTTAACAAATTGTTAAAATATTTCAAAAAAGGCTAATGGTTTATTTAAATTTGTACTAGGAATGAAAGGTAGTTCTTTTTCCATCGGCTTGTGAAACGGCGTCGTTGAGCAGCAGGGAATTGTTCGTAGTGGTATATATGAATTATTTCCTGTTAGCTGAAAGGGAAAATACTGATGAGTGTTGAATATCATAGAATTAGCAAAGAATAGCCACGGGCTTGTCCGGAGTAGTAACCATTTAGCCCATTCGTTCCATATTTGATACTGAATCATACTGAAAACCGTTTTTCCATCGGGTTATGTAATCATTGAAGGTAAATCGTGTTGACAGCTTATTGTGTGGATTACTAGTGGTAATTTTGGAAAACTAAGCGTCACTGATACTTCAGACTGTTTTGCAAAAGACAGTTAGATTTGCAGGGAGCAAGTTTCAACCAGAGGTGCGTGGTTTAATTGAGGTTTGCTCAATGGTTGGGGGGGGACAAAATAAAGTATTATTATTGTTTGTAGTTTCAGAACATTTTTTCTTTTTGTTTTTAATTATAGTTTTTGTTTACGGAGTAGTTATGGACAAGGTGTAGAAAGGCTAGTGTTTTTAGATATGATCAGTAATAAGTTTAAATAGAAAACTTAAGATTGGAGAATGGATCATCAGACAATGCCAATTCAGAGGCAGTGCCTTGGATATCCTCCGTAGGGTGGGGTTTGTTGTCCTTGATCTAGCATGTGGCTGTATGTGGGTTGTGTTGCTGTCCGTGGTAAATTTTGAGTTTCCCAATTTGAGAGGGCTTCAATCTCCAGATATAGTCGTGAGCGTTTTTGTTTGGTTTGAAACTGTATCGAAAGAGACTCTCGAAAGAAAAGTAACTCTCGGGTCGAAGGTAACTTCACTGGAACGATAGTTGTTTTTAATATTCTATAGGATTTTGTTTTGTTTGAAGGCAAATGCACTGAGTATTCGAAGAATTGACGTTCTAAAACAGCTGATACCATAAGAGGAAATAATATTTTTCAAGGATAGTACAGTAAGCAGACTTTCAGCGCAAAATTCAAAAAATCTGCCTAAGGAGATGCTATCATTAATGACGATAAAGGTTACTAAACGTATGTAACTGCTAAGTGGGCTGATGTTCGTGAGCGAGAGATAGGGGATCACCTAATGCTGTGGGTCACGTGAGGGCGTTTCAAACATGCGCTTCGCGCTGCCGCTTTCATAAAAAATGTTCGCGTGCCAGCAATGCGATTAGTTTGGTCGGTTTGTCGAAGCTGATTATATCAAGTTGCTGAGTTTGATGCCCCAAAAAATACATTCGGCAGGTCAGTAGGAAAGTTTCGGTGTTTCTTTAGGCGGCGGCAGCTCGATTCTTTGCAGATTTTTTTTTTTAATTTGAGTTAGAATTGAATATCTTATTGAGTCCCTCGATGTGATAATTTTTTTTGCTATTAATGTCTTCGCAGAAGAAACGATTCAGTTTTGGTCGCCCTATGATAATGCTGCTATTGCCTTGGTATTATTCATACTTTTGTAGCTTGTTGAATCTGTTTATTCAAAACTTTTTTCAATTGCAATACTTTTCTGGTGGAAATAAATTGGTCCCAAATACTGGGCCCTAGTACCGGTGCGTTTTTTTAATTGGGTTTGCCAAAAACGCACCCGGGTTTTTTTTCTCAACTACAAAAACGCGCTCCCAAAAACGCACACCCCCGGTTAATTACGAAAATGCACCTTAGTTTCCAAAAACGCACCTTGGCCTCGAAATCGACGAAAAAACGATAGAAAAGCCTAAAAAAGTGTCTGGGACTGAAAAAAGGCAAGTTACACCCAAAAAACTAATTTGGGTCTAGAAAATCGAAATTTAACCAATTTGTCTGCAAAAAAGTGCTCCCAATTACAAAAACGCACCTAGGCCCAATTTAGTATAAAACAGCAGAAATCTATCCCAGAACATCGAAAAAAGGTCTAATAGCATCAGAAAAGCAAGAGTTTGCCAAAACAACAAAATTATGCTCATTTAAGGCCAAAAACCCGGAATTAAAGGTTTAAAACTCTGAAAACTAAGCCCAAGTCACAGTAATAGCAATAGAAAGAACAATATTTTACCAGAAAAAAAAGGTTAAGCTCAAGTTTATGGCAAGAAAAAGTAATTGGGCCTCTTTCCGAAACCGTGTCGAAACCAAAAGTGTCATAATAAGGCCTCCCCTGCAGGGAATGCTCAAAAACAGCATTGTTTCTATAAAAATTTCTCAGACTAGATAATTACAGAGCTGAGACTAAAAAAACTGATTTTGGACTGAATAAAAAAAGAGTGAAAATATAAGATTGCAACTAATGATTTGACAGCATTTTGCCGAAAGATTTGTTCATTTTTCACGTTTTCTTTTTTTTCATACTCAAATTTATTTTGGTGCCTCTCAGTTCACCCTCTTTTTTACAGGGCTACCCAGGACCGCCAACGGTGAGGCGGGCACCATCGGTCCCAAAAATTTTTTTGGCTTTTTTTTTGAGAAAGCTTTCTCTTTTTTTGGAACTTGAAGTTCTCATCTTTTTTTTTAAAAGCAAGGCTTTCGTTTTTTACAAATGCTTTACCACCGTTCTACAAAAGTTTTTTATAAATAAAGAAATGGTTTAGCAAAATAATAAATTGTTTTGAAGGTTCGTTAGTTTGAAAGTTTTTTTTTGGGTTTTTTATCACTGATTGTTCTCCCATGTCGTTATTTGCTTAAAGATGCTGCGGACCTGGTCCCTTGTCAAGTCGTAGGGCAAATCTTCAACCGCTCTTTACAAGGACT